GATGCCGTCTCGATGAATTCGGTAATTGGCAAATATGGCATCGGAGTCCAGTGCACCAATGGAGAACGTCTTCTTTGTGTTGTTGAAGAGGATGAACTCTTTGTTACTAATACATGCTTTCGGCATCGGAGAAAACATCTATTCACGTGGAACTCTTCGGACAACCAATCAAATGAACTATATATTGGTGTCAATCACCGTTGAAGAGTTCTGTACTTAATAGTCGTTCTTATCGGGGCACCGAAACTGGTAACCGCCATGGATCAGATCATGTTATGGTTCAAGCCAAGATTCGTATAAAATTAACAAGTCGTAAGAAACAACCCGAGATCTTTCAATTATCTCAAATTAAAAAATCCAGGAGCAATAAATGCATTTCAAACCATATTACTGGAACACCTTAGTGAAATAAACATCAATCACATCTCTGGAAAGGCGAATGAATACTGGTCCTAAGTAAAGACATGCCAAATAGCCAGGCGAAAGATGAAATTGAAACCCAAATAATACAGCTAGAAATATGTTTTTTTCGGCTGATGAGACCTTTATGGGATCGTCGCGAAATTACCATAAAGACGAAAATCCGAGTCCATATAGCTGCAATTCGTTTAATGCTATATGACTGCGAAATATGGCCAATGAGAGTGGAAGATATTAAGAAGCTATCCGCCTTTGACCACTCATGCCTAAGATATATTTTACGGATCCGTCGAGTGGATAAGATCGCACATGATTGTATCCATCTTCGCTCAACTACCACCTGTATTAATATTATCATAGAGCGTCGCCTTCGCTGGGCACGTTCTCCGTCGTCCACCATAGGAGTTGACGCATGTTTCATTACTTGCTAAACTTGTGATGGTTGGCGCCAAAAGCGGGGAGAACCAGTCAAAACCTGGACTGATAAGTCAAGAAAAATTTTGAATATATATAGGGGCCAGCGATATAGACGATAAAAAAAGGAACGGATTTTATTACTACTAGCTATGGAGTTGGACCGAGCAGCTTGAAGACGTCTTACTCTTGCAGCCAGCGGAGCCAGCCTAACCAGTAATGGTGAGAGCTTTTAAAAAAAGAACAGAAGCAGAAGTTTTTTTGGTGGCTTTTGTTGCTTCTGTAATTTGTTTAACAACTCGCAGCTACGGGGTTATTTTGCTTATCTTTCATCACTGACTGTGTTCATAGCAAGTGTTAATAACAATAACAAACTTCAAATTTGGGTAAAAACTAATAAAATTTATATAAGGTGAACTACATTTAATTATTTATTTATGCTGTGCTTATATTTAATTTTAGTGATATTCATTTAATTTTAGTGATATTCATCGTGAGATTTGCTATAGTTAGCAGTGAAGCCGATAAAAAATGATATGAAACTGATAAAGGAGGATTGCCTGGAATCAGCAGAAATAAAATAAAATTGGTTTAAATAAAATGCGAAATGGATGAATTTGAAATTTTATATTAAATTTCCATTATTTTCGTATTTAAAAGTAAAATAGAAAGTGGATGAAATGATGTAAAACAAAAATGTTGTAAAGAAGTTATTAAGAAGAAAAAAAAGGATGAAGAATAACAAAAACAATGAAATTGGTCCAAAAATTTCCCAATTTTAAGGTCAATTTTTCCAGAAATTCTAAAATTCATGGCGGAATGCGCCTTTGGTTATCCGGCACTCAGGACGATCCGCTGCAATGGAATTAAGCGAAGTTTATTCACTACAGCTACAAGTTAGAATTAAAAATCGTGGTTTCTTTTGCGATAATTCGTAAATGTTTTGCTTGATATCTGACCATTCGCTGAAGATTCACCTAATATCTCTTAAAATATTCTTACGGCCACAAAAAGCGAAAAACGACAACAGCATAGTGAATATAATAAGTGACAAAAGGCAGTATTCATAAATAAGTCATTATTAAACAAAGAAATATTTCATTCAGTTGGTGGAATCAAAAAACAGTCCAAGATATTTGCCCAAGTCAAAAAACACCTTTAAGGCCCAAAAATGCAAAAACGTTGATTGGTTTCTGAAAAATATTTTATAAAAAACTTCGCTTTGACTTAATAAATGTCCATCCTTGAAAAAATGAAACCTTGAAAAAATTTAATTGTCTTACCTATCAACAAAATCTTCTGACTTCACCGTTTTTATGCTCTTTCGCATCGGCCAAAGGATTTCATTAGATTATGTTAACTGATCCAAATTCATTTGCGAATTAAGTTGGCACATCTTGAATCTCATTAGAATGTCAGAATTTGCAAAAAATAAAAAGTAGAATTTTGTTTGTAGAATTTTTTTACTTATACGTATGCACCTTCACGAAAATTTGGCATTCACTAGGAAAAATTTTGTCCACAATCGCATTGAATAATAAATTAATTAATTTACAAATGTGCAAAGAATGGATCTTGAATGAAGAAAAAAGTTTGAACCGCCGCTGGTCCAGCATAGCGTAAAATTGGTTTGAATTGAATTTAAGTTGTGGGTGCAGCAAGCTGATCCTTCAGATCACTTCTAATTCTGAAAGCAAATTATATTAAATGAAAAACTTCTCGAAAATTTAAAAATTCTTCAAAAGGCTCACTTAAAAAAATTATTTTCCAATTGCTTTTTTCCCTTGAAATTCTTCTCAACCGCACTAGCAATTTAATTTAGCCTATCGCCTCAATTTTTTGATTCTTCATTGTTACTCGCTTCGCACTAGAATTTTAGCAAATTTTTCCACCTCCGACTCTAAAAATATACAGAATTTTAAGACGAACGTCATGCCAAAGTATCTCTACTGGACAAGAATGATTTTTTCTGAAATCACATGAAAAATATTTTATTTCATATTCGCTTTGACTTAATGAATATCCAATCTTAATAAATACTGAAAAAAACTTGAAAAATTTTTTTTACTTGTCTTGCTCTTAACAAAACCTTCAGACTTTGGCTTTGGCCTTCGGCGCTTTTAATGTTCTTCGACTTCAGTCCTAGAATAAAATTTGGCTAAACCCTTAAAAATTGCACATTTTCCATTAAAATCGAATATTTCGTATGGTGCATCCTAAGTTCTGGAAAAATGTCCTATCAAGTACTTTTGAAATTCAAAATATTTTAGAGTAAGCCTTGCGGCTAACGAGATGAAGCGAATTTTTATATATTTGGCTGAAAATTTGTCAGACATCCATCAAGAAAGATCTCCCATTTTCCTATTATTTCCTTTCTCTAAATTCATTTATTTCCTCTTTATTTTATCTTTGTTTTGGGTTTCTTTGGCAGTTCCTGTGGCTCGGCTATTTTTCTACATTTTTTGCCACATTTATTTTTCGAACTACCTTATGTTTTTTTTGTATAATTTTGAATAATTTTATTAATACTCCAATTAATATGATTAATATGCATAAATGACACGTTCGGCTAACGCTGATAACGCTCAATAATTTCGATTTGGTTGGCTTCACTCACCCAGATAATTATCAATTAGAAAAGAACCCCTTGCCTGCGAGTCATATAAAGATAAGATATTACGTGGAAGTCAGATATGACACTATTCAGCATTCATCTTACTTTTACTCATAATTTATAGTTTTATTCTTTTTCTTATTCTTTATTCTTTTATTCTATTCACATTTTATAACTCTTATAACTTCGTGGGTTTCTTTGGCAGTTCCTGTGGCTCGGCTATTTTTCTACATTTTTCCCCAGAAATATTCTATGGCTTTTTTAAAGAGCCCTCATCATTACTGGTTGGACTCGCTCCGCTCCACTGTCTTATCGCACTAGATAAAATTGCCCTTAGCGATAGAAGTGCGAGTGAGTCGCCAGCATCACTCGTATTTTCGACACTTTGCTCTTGCGAGTAGTAAAATGTCAGCATTGCGCTTCGAAATAAGCAGCAATCCACTGAGCCGTTCAACGCCTCATGGCTTAGAAACAGTAATTTAGATTAAATGGTGATAACTCTTGTCTCTCCGCGCAAATTCAGCCTAAATACAGAGAAGGAAAGAATTTCTCTTAAGTTATCCTTGAAGCTAATTCAGGCATATAAATTACAAATTATTCTCCTTGACAGCAGTTGCCCGTCTGGAAGATTTATGCGTAATTCCAGTTAGATGCAGTCTAATAAAGCTGATAAACTCACCGTTAAAACTGGAACCCACAGCTGTTAGCTTCAGCCAAAGGAAAATTGTCTTCAACTACAGATTTCCGACTTTTTCGATAGCACACCGGATTGTTCGACATTTTCACTGCTCGAATATTAACTAGCTGATAGGTCGAATATAGGCGTATTTAACCATTGCAAAATATCGATCGATTTCTTAGGGTATTTTGTCGCGATGTATAAATTATAGGTTGGCGTGAGGAGTAATGTGTGTGTGGGTTAGTGTATAAGTGTGGATTAGTGGCTTAGGCCTGCGCGTCGGCCAACTTTAACTTTTTTGTGGATCCTGCGTGTGCTTTAACGTGCGAATATATAGGCGGTGAAAGTATACGTGTTTTTCATTAATGAGTCGTACGCAATATTTTTGATATTAGAAATTTTACTTGGCCGTTGTTTGAGAGGAATCGTGTTTTTGTGTGAATTTTTTTTTTCACGTTTCTGCCTTTTTTTCCGCGATTTTCTTTCTCACACTTCTTTTATGTTACTTCATCTATGAAAAAACTAAAAATGAGTATGCAAATAATATGTTAATGTGCTTAAACGATTCAGAATTCAGAATCCAAATATTTTTTATAGGAGTGTTTTTTCCGAATAAGTACAATAAAATACAATAAAAGATGTCTGGAAGTGAAAAGGATCATTCAAGAAGCGCGACACCAAAAAGGTTTTTTTATTATTTTTAAAAATTCATATTTAATTTGATTCTTTTTTCTATTTTTGTTGTTAAATAAAATTGATTTCATTTAATATATTTTCGGTCGGTGGGAATAAGTACTTTGTTTCAAAAAAAAAAACAATATTCTATGTTGTAAATTATCAGACTATTTTAAAAATATTTATTTGGGATTACAAATGAAGCAAAATAGTAAAATTTTTAGTGATCGATCAGGTTCACGTGATCGATCTGAATCGCCACGTCGTAGAAGCCGTTCGCGTTCGACAGAAATAGCTGAACAACTTTGTCGTCTGCATATCTGTAATTTCGATGAAAGTATTAAAAAGAATGATATCGAAGATGCTTTTTCGTATGTTTTTTATTCATTTAATAATAAGTTAGTGGCATTTTTTTCATACCAAACTAATTTTGATTTGAAGTATTTGATTGAAATATGTTGCAAGTTTCTTGTCAAAAGTTTCTTGAAAAAAAATCAGAACGATTCAGAAACAGAAGTACTTAAATAGAAAAGAATTATTTGATGATCATTTGTAATTAATAATTTTTAATAATTAATAATTTTCTAATTAATAATTAATAATGTGAAGGTAATTGAATGATTTAAATATAAATGGAATATTCTATTTTTATTTCTGAATTCTTTTTCTAATAGCTCTTACCATTAATGGTTAGGCTGGCTCCGCTGGCTACTAGGAAAAGACGTCTCCAAGCTAGTCGACCCGATGCCACCACCAGTAGTAATAGAAGCCATTCCTTTTTCCATCATCTAAGTTCATATATCGCTGGTCCCCCTATATGTTCAAAATCTTTCCTGACTATCAGTTCGGGTCTCATCTTGCTTTTGATGCCAACCATCGAACGGTTCGGTAAATATGGCAAATAGCGAAATATGCGTCAACTCCTATGGTGGACGACGGAGAACATATACTAATCAACGAAGGCGACATTATTTTCTGATAACATTGTCAGCTGGTATTAAACGGAGATGGATGCAATTATGTGCGATTTTATTCGCTCGACGGACTTAAATTCTATCCTAGACATTAGTGGTCAAAGGCTAATATTATTATTTAAAAAGTTCACATCAAGAAATCTCGATTTTCACCATTCGATTATATGTAATGTAGTTACTTCGAATTGTACTATATTATAAATTATATCCTAGACATATATTATTCTGTAATTTCCTCTTTAAATTGTTAATTTTTTGTCATATTTTTTTTTTCTTATCAATTTTTATTATTTGTTATTTTAATAAGCAAATGGCGTTGTCGTCCTGCTTGGCTAATTTTCAATAAATAAATAATATCTTCCACTCCCATTAGCCATGTTTCGCAGCCATATAGCAAGGTCGAGCAGCTATATGGACGCGAGTTTTCGTCTTTATGGTGATTTCGCAATTCCATAAGGGTTTCATCAATTGAAAAAACACATTTCTAGCTGTCGTTATCCGGATTACAATTTCATCCTTTGCCTGGCCATTTGGGATTAGAGTGGATCCATGGTATTTAAAGTCGGCAATGAATTGATAAAAATAAAAATGGATATTTTACCAATACTTTCGTTTTATTCACATTGGTTTTGAGTCCAGTTCTCGCTACAGTCGTTGCACTGTAGCTGACAGCAAAAACAAAAAGAGTGTTCAGCGTATTCATGGTCTATGATTTAGACTGATTTGTACATTTCTTGAGTGCCGACAAGCGATCTCCATTATCCAGTCTATGGCATAGTTAAATATTCTTGGGGAAAGGACGCACCCTTGACGGATACCAGTTCTTAAAGAGTCGTTCATTTCCCCTGATATATAAGGTGTGCTGTGTGTGAAGTTCCGGGGATGTCTGGTAGGGTGATTCCTCGGTGATTTTCGCACTACATGCTCTTACTTTTCTTAGGATTTTGAAGTAGAATTGCTTCGCTCCAGTATTCTGGTATTATTTCGTTTTGCCGTACCATTTGTTGAAGGTGGGTTATGAATGATTGTGAATAACATTTGAAGAATTCGCCCCGAAGACCATCTTCTCCGGGTTTTATTGGCTTATTAGCTTATGGATTACAGAAATTATTTCCTCTTCTGTTGGCGATCCGCAATTGCAAACGTTGGCTGGACGAGGAAATCACATATACCAGAGTTGAATGGATATAAATATAAATGGAATATTCTAATTTTATATGGGATATTCGTATTTTCTGTTCAATGATAAATAAATTTTTTTGCGATGGCTGAATACTTGAATGCGTTTGTACTTGGAATGGTTTTTTTAAGCTAAGATATCATTTCTTTTTAGATGTTGGAATTTCATAAAACTAAATTTATTTTGTTTTATTCCTTTTTGTAGAAAATTTGGCGAAATCGACAATATATGGTTAGCATCTTATCCACCGCTATTTGCATTTGTTACTTTTAAAGATAAGGATGATGCAAGAGATGCGTTAAAAGAAATGGATAATGCGTAAGTTCCGCAATTCATAAATTTGTCATTTATACCTGTAAATAAATTAAAAAACCCTTACAGCTGATCATTTATAAATATTAAATGTTTTCTAAATCTTTTAAGTTTTCGTTTTTTCATAAGTTTTTCGAGTCATTTTTTCATGTTATAAATTTGAATTTAGATAAGAATAATAAGCAATAGACAATAATGAATGAACCATTTCAATAAGAGTAGAATTAAGTTTTATTTTTTTTAGCAGTTGAATGGTAGAGGAAACAAAAATTTTCTAATCAATTTCGTTTTTAAAAAGATTTAATGGGTAATTTGGTTTCAGTTAAAGCAATATAATTCGTGAAATGGAATGCGAAAATTTAATTAAATTTAATTGTAAATTTTTCTATAGGTACATTGGTCGGAATAGGATCAAGGTAGCCAATGCACATCCACCGCGTAGACCTGGCGAGCGAAGACCACCTCGGCGTTATGGTGGATATGGAGGATTCAGGGGTGGCGGAAGTCGTTATGGCGGAGGACCGAGGTTATTTAATGCATATTAAATTGTTGGGTCCGATTCTCTTGACAAAGATAGAATAACCTAGGCTATTTTATCGATAGTTGCCAAAATCTGTCACCAGATTGGTCTAAATATAATATATATATATATATACATTAATGCAGGATTAAGCAGGGCAGTTAATATGGAATAACAACAACGGTTCGAATTGCAACCATTCCTCTTGATACTTTCTGAGGGTTCGTGGGCGAGATCCTCTGGATTCTTATCTCAATCTGCCAGGCTTTTGTTGAAGGACCTGAGGTCGATCATTACCACCCACAAAGAATGAAAGGAAGAGTGAAAGAGTGAAAAAAACTTTTAAATGAGAATATGAGAAATTAAAGAAATACCAAGGGTTGGGAGATTGAAAGAAAAAAGAACTAGAGAGGATGTGGAAAATGAAGATGGAAGTGATCCCAGTAATAATTGGAGCACTTGGAACTTTGATTTCTGAACTAGAAAGGCTGATTCTGGGAAAAACGTCAGAACATACTGCTGTATCCAGAAGAGCGCATTGTTAGGAAAAACCAAAATACTGCCCGGAACCGCCAAACTCCCAAACTTTTATAAGGCTCGAGGTAAAGATGATCCTTACCACCCTCAGGAGGTAGGAAAGGGATTTTTTTTCTATCTGTGTATTGGATAATGTTAGTTCCTTTATCCTTATGTTAAAATAAATCCCTTTATTAAACTGTTCGTCAGTTATAGCTGGAAAAATTCGTTCTAGATAATCGTTCTTACCAACTGAAAATGGGTAATATGGGTCAAGAAAATGATTGTCTCAAACGGTTGTCTTTCGACATTCTCCAATTGAAAGAATTGGAAAATGTATGCAGGTTCAGACCGAAATATTTGAAAATATTTATTCAAAAGCTCACATTTCAAGAGGTCCTAAATATCAACCACTTGGAATGCATATAACAACAGTCAAAAAAGTATTGCTGGTGTAGTATATGGATATGGAAATTGATCAGAAAGTGGTCGCTTAATCTGAGACGTGCCGAAGCTTGTTGCTAATTGTTAATGCTATCGGAACCATTCAGGGCATCGAGAATTGAAACACAATGAAGAAAAATATTGAACATAGGGGATATATGGGAGAATAGAATGGTTCAGTGGGTTGTTGCCCAGTTCGGAGCGCCGATGCTGAGGTTCTATTCTCCGCATAGTAAACCTGTCCAAAAATCTGGGTGATGCTGGCGACTTACCTTTACTATCGTCAAGGGACTCACCAGCATATTTATTCAGTGCAACAAGCCAGCGGGGCGAGTTCGGTATTGGTGAGATTCTCAAAAAAAACCCAGCGATATAAGCACAGGTGGTGGAAAAAGGAGTTTTCCATTCAGATATAGCTTTAGATTGTTTGTAGTCAAGACGAGCGTAATGTTAAGGATAAAGAAGGGCATGGTTATTTATCATAATTTATGCTTTAAGATATGGTGGCAGAAGTGGCGGATATCGCGGTGGTGGCCCACGTTATGGTGGTGGTGATCGCTATGGAGGAAGACGGTAATAAGTTGAGGATAAAATTCTTTTAGTGCGACTTTATAATATCTCTATTCTGGTTTTAAGATACATGGTATTTTTAGAAAATTACGCAGTTAATTTGATTCCTCGTATACTTTCCTTCTTTTTTTTTGTTTTTTCTTATCTTGAGTTTTTCCAGTCGCGATTCATTTGATCCGTTAGAAAAGGGTCAGAGAACGCAAGAAAGCATTCATGTTTAACTGGTACATTGTGGAAAAAAGTGTCATATATCGAAAAAAATCATTTGATTCCGTCGCTTCGTATAAGTCCATCACACATTGGCAAAAGGGGGATTTTTCATTCGGGATACGGTTCGGTTTCTATATGTGGTTCTTTATTGGCGTCCCGTGTATAATGGAAGTTGGTAAAGCTGTTAGCTGTCAGGAATGGCCCAATTTGTGTTCAGTGTGGTAGAATATCAAAAATCAGTGGTTTAAATGTGGCGCGAAATTTTGACGGTAATTTCGGATAAAAATCAGCCAGTCAGCATAATTAAATGCATTCGGTCCCAGATATGTTCGGGTCGAATGGTAAGTTCCTACTATAATTTTTGAGCTGTAAAACAAATATACTTCCTTTGTCCAAATTTATTATTTTTATGGATAAGGATGGTCACCGTTAATTCGGTTGATTTTACGAAGAAATTTGTATTTCTTGTAAATACGAAGTTGTGTAAATAAGTTATTGTTAAGCTTGACTATAATTTGGCTGTTGTAAGGTAATTTGATACAATATAGGGAGATATTGAATCATTTTTCTTGCATCAGTCTTATGGTTATTTTTTGTCATTTATTTTTTCGCCCGAGGAGCCTCTTCATTTATGAAAAAAACCATTCACCACATACAATTATTCGAAAGATTATTATTTAAATTATTTTATTTTGGATTCTTAGTGTTTTTTCGCCAATTTAACTGTATTTTCGCCTTTTTTTGATTTCCTGGGTAATTGTTTGTCGTCCAGTAAATATTTTTCAGTCGGATGGAAGCGGGTATCATTATTCAAGAATCCTAGTAATATTGTTATTTTTTTTTTTATAAATTTTCAGCAAAATGCGGATATTTTGACTCAGATAAAACTTTGTACTTTTAAAATATTTTTTCAAAGTTTTGCCAAAATTCTATTGTTGGAAAAATTGTGTAGAAAGATTTATATATTTATATATATTTATGAAGCTGCTAAACTATTTGTGAAATTCCTGAACTATTTCATTCAAGTTACTTATAGTTGTTCATTGTAGTCTGTTGCTGGATTCAATTTGTACATGGTCTCACTGGCAATACATTAGGTGCAGGTGCACTAACTCTAATGCAATTTATTTTAGGGATGGTGGTAGCCGTCGGTATGACGACCGATATTGAAATTCAGGCTGAAGAAAATTTTCGACTTTTTTTTAAATTAAATTTTTTTATATCTTTGTATTTGTTTTCAAAATTCTTTGTATTCATGAGGAATAAGATCAGCGTTGACAGGTGTCTGTTCAGTCTTGTTCAGTCTTTTATTTTGTTTTGATGTTTTTTGAGGCTGGTAATGAGGAAACTTATTTTAAATATGGTTCAAAGAACGTTTAATAAATTCCTCGTTCTTTTTTGAAAGATTTGATTTGAAATGTTTATTTTTGCGTTAAATCTAAAAGAAGATGTGGAAATGGAATATTTTAATTCCAAGCTAGAATGCAAAAAAAAAATTTTTAAAATTCTCTGTAGCTAAGATAAACCTCTGTCTAATGAAATTTTGGAAACTTTTATGGTACAAATTTTGTGCCACTTCACTGATTTCTGTTGTTTTTTTGCTTTAAAAATGTAAGGTTTGCATTAAATGGAAAACTTTATTTAAAGATCGTAAGTATTTTGAAATTTTCTCTCTAATAAACTAATTACTGGCTTTTCGTTTTTCAAATTGGAATTTTTTTTGCAGTATATTGGTATTTCTATCTTTAAATATTTCTTATACTATTGTATTTGTGGTTCCTTCATCGCCATTTGCATTTCAGATTTCGTCTAAATGAGTACCAATAAAGAGAAATTCTGCGCAGTGTCGATGGAATAGTTAAAAAAATGAGCTATTTAGACATATTGAAAATTAGATATGATTCAGTTAATCAAATGTTCAATTAATATATTAATATTAGTGTTTAATGTTCATATCAACATAGCGGATGTTTTCCTTCTGGATCACTTGTAACTTTAACGGGTAAAAATCCGAGTTCACCTTTATTTGTTCCATTACTTTCAGCCAAAACATTCACCTGGAATTTCAAAATTATAATTACGTTTCGGTGACCAATGATGTTTATCAAAGTAATATAGTACAGTAGAAAATAAAAAATGTTACATGATACTTGGATCATGTTGAATTAAAATGTTGGAAATTAACAATTCCATCATTATAAATTAATGAAAGTGTGGTATATTCGATCCATGTTTCCAGTTTTGGTAAATGAAGTACGCCGACTTTTTAGTGCAGAAATTCAAAATAATATTTTTAATGATTTGTGGTAAATTAAACGGTTTAAAAATGTAACCTCATATGAACCGCTTGGTAATCTTACACACTGCAAATTCCATCTTCTATTATCCTAAAATTGAATTCACTGAAGGAGAATAAATTCATTTTCCACTTTTTTGAATTAAAGTGGTGTTGTATGCCATATATAGATTTAAGTTTAATGGTACGTTTGTAAAAGGCATCTTGACTTATGTTTTGTTTGGGGGAGTATTTCAATTTGATGCCACATCCTAAAAAAATTTGTCGATTTTGACTAAGTTAGTTTTGACAGATTTATGAAACATAAATAGTATGGTCGATAATTTGATAAAAAAAAAGAATAATGTGGAAACTGCCGTAAATTTAAAAAATTAACTTGTTGAACTACTGTTTTTCATTATGCCAAATCTTGTAAATGTAAATGATAGCAGTAAGAGGTGGATTGGTTCAATGAATTGTTGCCGTGATTTTGGAGTGTCGACGCGAGCGAGGATTGTTTCCCGGCAAGAGTAAAATTTTTAAAAGCTACTTCTGCCACAAAATAACTCCCTGGCAAAATTTATTTTAACCGATAAGTTGTGTAATGAGCCCAAAAGGGGATGCCGAACGTATAACGAAAAAGAGTCATGTTTCTTGTAATTGCAAATATAACGTAACAGGAATAATAATAAACAGTAAAATATTTGAAATGGCCGTTTTATGAAACATGATAAAATACGAACCTTGATCTGTTCGCCAGTAATAATTTTACTGCGAGAATAAAAACAGCTTCGACCAATGGGGTCCATGCATAATGCAAGACGGGCTCCATCTGTCGCAAAATATTCATAGAAGCAGAAATAGATCGGTTTGTCGCTGTCATTAGGGACGTCAATTCTTGAACTTATCATTTTATAGGAGACACTGCGATTTGTAAGAGGAGCCACTAAAAATTCATTGAAATTCAATGGAGGTGCTTTTATTCCGGTAAGTGGATTTGTTTCACGTTCGTCTGTTGACGCTTTCCAACCAGAATTGATCGACTGCCATTTGCATTGATCTGAATTTGTTTTTTCTTTTTAATTCGTAAATTTAATCTATAGTTGGTTTTTAAATTGATTTTTTCTTATTTTAAATCTTCCGTCCCAGGTATCCATAGTAAATGATAAGTATTATCCATGCAGCAAAGTAGAGAAAAATTGTAAATGAGGAAATAGAATTAAAATATTAATTCGTAAATCGATTAATATTCGTCTCCCACCTCCTGGATTGCAAGATAGTGCCAAACAAGTTTCGGCAACTGATTCAGTAGAGCTTTCGAAGTTTTTAAAACTATATAAATGTCGAATCTGGCCACCATTGGCTGATCTTGCAGTCGACGGTGATAAATCTGTATTTAACTCATTAATAGCGCGCGAATTTTCTCGATCATCATCGTTTTGACGGCTATCAAATGCTATCAGTGAACAGTGTGGATCTATTTCTCCATTGACAACGATATCTTGAAGGAATATAGCACCACCATCAGGAGCAATAAAATTGTCACCAATTATAATAATCTGTAAAATTTCGCTAATGCAGATGGGTAAAATCTTGCCATTTATGCCTTAATGGATCTTTTAAGAGCATTTCTTTTATGGTTGGGGTGACTTTACTAGACAGTGGACCTTTTCTCGCCAACGGTCATCAATCATCTGATTACAAAATCATTTTTTTGACTTATAATATTATCGCCATATTTCTACAATTTCTACAATTTTAAAAATACCTGAAATTCTCCAACTGGAAGTAACAAAGTAAATACGGAGATTTAATGAGAATTTTTAAAGTTTCACACAGAATTTCTTCGAAATTTGGTGGTCACTGATATTACTTAACGTAATAGCTACTGACTCTCAAAGGTGAAAGTGGATCCTTTGGCAATGGTATATTTATAGAAACAGGTCGACCATTTTCGATTGTAAATATTACGCATGTTGATACGTGCCGTTCGCTGTGGGTATTATGCGAGCAAATTTGAAGATTAGGACGTTCATAAGGAGATTTAGCATGCGATCGCCAAACAGTTGCTGTAAATCGTAGCGGTGAAGTCATGCATGGAATTTGATCAGAAACTAGTTTACCAGCTTCCCATCCATTAGTTTTGGCTGAAATCAAGACTGCCGATCCGGGACCTGAAAAGTTTTCAATTTTTCAATTTTTTCTCCGAATTAAAACCAGAAGATCGTATTAAATAGTAAATAAATGGAGCAGATCTTTTATGATTATCACGATATTTAACGAGTTAGAAAACGAGTTTTCTATTATCCTCTAAAACTGTTGGTTCGTGAACTATAATAACTAGGCGATATTAATACCTGGCTGAACTTCTGTCTCTAATTTTGGTATCCATTTTTCTGCCTCAAGAGTCGAAATTCGAACGCCCCAATCTAATTCGTCATCATTCGTGTTTGACCAACGACAATTACCGTCAAATTGCTTGCAGTTCAACGCAGAACTACTTAAAACCATAGTGTTAGGTTGGTCATTCGAATAAGCGCGAGTTGGCACAACCAAATCTACACGTGGTTGGTTTGAATCAGCAAAACGACCTCTGTATCCACTGTAACCTAAAATCTATGGTTATTCATCCATATTCTGTTAATCTTCTTTAAATAAACTTTTTTGTCATTCTCATTTATCTTGACTTTATTCTTCTTCATGTGCATCTTCTTCATACTTAAAATAACTGCAAGCATTTATTAAATCCTGATAAGTGAAATGGAATTTGTTGATAATTTAATTGTTAAAAATTTTATTAATCTAAGTTCTTATAAGAAGAATTATGAAATGGAATAAATAAATGAATGAATGTAAAAAGAACGAATGTCATAAAAAAAGTCTATAATATGACAATGTGACGGAATAATCAAATGGACAATGACTTGGGCTACTGTGAGACATTGCTAAAAGACAGGTTCTTATATCAAAGCAATAAGTTTGTTACTTCAGATGGTTCTGGCATCTAAGCGCATCAGTAATCAGTTGAGCTAATCTAACCAGAAATGGTGTTAACCACTAGGTTCAGTCAACAGACCTTTGCAACGGCTAAAAAGAGCGGGAGGACCGAACAATAAGGAAATATTTTGAAATAAGAATATAAATCCTGATAAAATCCTAATAAAATAATTTAAATATAAATAACAATCTTTTCATGGAAATTCGGATAAACTGTAATACGGTGGATTTAGTGATTTTCATATTACCATTTCTAAGAAGACTATTGAAAAATTCATTTCGAGGTTAATTAAGCGTAAAATATTCGTTAAATAAATGGTAAATTTAAAATGGTTAAAAGCAAATTACGTAAATAAAAGAGGTAATATGAAAATATTTAATCACATGGAGCATTGGAGCATGCACTACGGTATGGAAATCACTAAATAAACTAGATAAAATATAACCTGAATATAAAGAAGGATAATATGATGATCCATAAAAAAGGCCCGGAGGTAGGCATCCATTTGTAACTGAAAACGACCATCTCATTATGCGAAAACTAATAAGCATATATAAAGCTAATTTTAATTATTTTGCACAAAATTATTATATTTTCATGTTCACAAAAAACCTTTATTATTTATTATATCTTTATTGTTTTATTATTTGTGATTTATTTTAAAGCTTTTTTAAATAGCCGAAATTAAACAAAATATATGAAATAAAATTGCTGAGTGGCTATTGCATATATATAACATCCAGTGTTGACTGGGACCTTGACGAGAATTAACCCGTCATGCTGACTGCGAACCACCTATAATTTTTTTCTCCGGATGATATTTTAGCAAAATCCTCATACAATATACAATCACAAATTACAAGGCACACTATCTGCCTCCTCGCTAATAAAAATCGCATAAATACTAGGAATTAGAAAGTTTTCTTAAGATGAAAATATGAGATTTTTAATATTATATCCTTAATATAATATTTTTTCATTTAATAAATAATTAAAAGATATCGGAATGTTTTAAATTGTTGAAAAAAATTACATATATCTGAGAGGGTAAAAAAGATGAAAACTGAGATTCGACTAAACATCATAAATGAGAATTCGAAATGGAACTGTCGAAGAACGAATATATTTTGTAGCGAACAACTCATTCACTTAATCCATTCATACTCTAATAATTATTTTTATAAATGGGCACTGGTTTTTGAAATCTGCTTGCTCTAATCCAGTCACTTCTTCGCCATTCCTCTATAAACTTCATAAACCTCAATCAGGCTTAAATCTTTTCATGAATAAGACCTTTATAACCAGTTTACTATCCATTTTGCAAAGGTTGCAAGAATATATAGTATACCATCTTCCTATTAGAGACAAAAAATTACCAGATGATCAGATGTTGATCATTGCTTCGGCTAAGAATGTCAAGGAAGCTCGTGGGCTTGACTTCTCAGCTTGGCGTTAATAAGTTACCATTAAAAGCGAAATGCTAACTGAACTGCAGATCACTGCAGATCCATGGCCCTTCTAAACCCAAATGATTGATTCTTCGCCGAAATAACCTCATTTCCAAGTCAGTGGAGCAACCACGGCTAAAACGACGAAGAACGATGTTCTAAGGTATTTAATAAATCTTCCCAGGTTAAACAGGTTCTTTTCGCAATATATCCCCATATCCCTTATTCTATTACATATTACAAACCAAATTCACTACTCTTTACTAGAACATTAGTACCCTTGCGGCATAAGCAATGCTTATATGAAAATCTTTCAACTTCTCTATTCGCCAAATCCAAACTGAAATTAATCTCCAAATTAATTTTACTTTCATACAAAAATTGAACAAAAATGAAAAAATGCCCACACCCTTTTTCATTTTTTCAGCTTCGTATAAATCGACTTTACATTATTTCTTCTTAAAGTGCATTTCCAATTTTTTCTATCTAATATTCTCCAAACCAATTTATGGATAATTTACGGATAAAATGATTTCTTTCTGCGAAGATTCCTCATTGAAATGAATTTTATATAGAAACATCAATATATAAATGTTTATGCGACTATCGCAAAATAAAAACATAAAATTTGTAAATTAAACGAAATTAAAGATTAACTGCCCCCCTTCATGACGCAAATTTCGTTTTAATAAAGTGAATAACAAGATTACTGCCTTTGATTGCCTCGGGAAATGAACAAACGACCGGTAGTATACACAGCTTAAGTTAACGCAACACCAGAACGGATCCAAAAGGCGAAAGCTAGCATACTAAATAAATATGATTCCAACTATTAAGCATACATCCCACAAAAAAAAATTTTTCGCCATATATTTGAATTTCTTCGACGAAATTCCCTACAATATAAGTTTTATACAGAAATTCATTTTGTGCACTTTTTTCCTAAGTCATTTCATCCCATTTAGATATAAAATAATATTAAAGTAATAAAGAATTTAGATAAAAAGTACTATTAAAATAATAAAGAATTCGTCTAATAAAGGCACAATAAGGACAAATTGTCTAACGCGAACAAACAACAATTACGCAAATAAATAAGACAGATAAAACAAATTCCACAAGCAACTGTGAACTTTAAAACGGCAAAAACAATATATTATTTTTTACAAATCTAAGCTGTCAGTTATTGAAAAAAATTATAAACGCTCCTACAAATACTCTTTTCCACGAATATCAATAATTGCAAGACATAAGCATGCAATTTCAGTAATTTCATTGCAAGACATAAGTCGCTAACATTGAAAAATTTAAGAAAAAACCTTAGAAACTATATTTAACCAATAAGTTGAATAAATTTCATGACCAACAAAAACAAAAATATATAAAAAGACAACAACCAGGATATAAGATCATTATTATTTGCACATACAATTAATAAAACAGCGATCAATTCAATCAATGCCGTTAAAAATCGCTTTCGCCCGTACTTCAAAAATCTGACAAAAATCAAAAAAAAACTAATTTATATAGCACAATACGAGGCAGGAATTCCCTATGAACTAATGCAAAAAATGACTGCAGTAAATTTCCCACTGGGCGCTGTTAACTTTAATCATTTTTTCGTAAATTTATATTCAATATGTGAATCATCTATAGTATATAGAACCAGTAACCAAATTATTAAAAACAAAAATTAATAACAAAAAATACTGGAAAGGCAAAAATGAGAGTCTGTGACTTCGATTTTTCATTCTTTCACAGGAAGACCGCGTTTCAGATCATCTGTCAAATCTGAGCCTAAAAATAATTGATTAATAGGTTTTAAAATAATCAATAATTTACATTTAACTGTTCGGATCAAATTAATTTTATAAATTAAATTAATCCGACCACATCTCAAGAAATGGACTCCAAAAATTTTAATTGAAAAAAAATTAAAAGCTGAATAAATCACACCAATGTAAAACAAATAATTAAAATTAAAATCGTGCCAGCATACGTCGGAGCAGGTCTATGTATATAAAGGATCAGACTCCTTCACAATAAGAACTTGTGTCTGTTAAAGCTGCGTCTTTTTCTCTACAATATACAGTAGACTGGATTATGGACATCTCTTGTCGACATTCAAGAGATATATAAATGAGCCCAGAGCATTTTATCACAGATTTTGAATACGATCTATATACGATATATATACGATCTTTTTTGCTAACTGTTATATGACGAAAGATAAATAATGCTAAACAACGTGTAAACAACTGCAGCAAGAATCGGACTCAGGGTCAATGAAAATAAAACGAAAGCCTTTTCGTCATATATGCAAGAAGCAAGCTAATAAAATGGTCTTTATGATTCATCACCGGATGAAGGAGTGCTCAATTTTAAAAACCTTGGATCTAATACCGGATGGCCAGGATAACGGCAGTTATAAATGTGTTCATCCAGTTGACGAAACCTTTATGGAGCCATCGCGAAATCACCATAAAAACGAAAGCCCGCATCTATGTAGCCGCGATTCGTTCGATCTTGCTATATGGGTGACATGGCCAATGAGAGTGAAGGATATTAATTTCGCTATTTGCTGGACTCTGTGATGGTTGGCGTCAAAAGCGAGGAGAGCCAATCAAGATAGGTCTGACTGGACTGATAAGTCAGAAAAGATTTTAAACGTATATAGAGACCAGCGATATAAACGATAGAAAAAGGAATGGCTTCTATTACTGCCGACGATGGTATCAGATCGCGCAGCTTGGAATCATCTTACCATTTAGCAAATGTAGTCAGCTTAACCAGTAATGGTAAGAGAAGAAGATTGTGTCAATCGTGCCAGTGGTTACACATTAAACATCAATATTTTTTCTTGAATCTTTAAAAGATATCAAAAAAAGCTCACCCTCTGTACCAATGCTATCGAGATCGTCATGTGGACTATTGTTACGAATATTGTGCATTCGCCGTGTGCCGAGTAAAGTATCACGTGGCCTTCGGTGACCACGCAAATTTGTATTATCACGAGCAAGGGTATCATTCGCTTCACTCAGATCATCAATTTCACGTTGCAAATTACGCGCTTTAGTTCTTTCCCTTGTCATTTCTTCTTCCATTTCATTTAACTGGCGTTTTAATTGGCGTGCACGTGCATTTGCTCGATCCGCCTAAAATTACCAAGCACATCTCATATTGTTTCTTTCATATTTTTTGAAAACTTAAATTTCAAATTTGAATAATGAAATAACAAAAACTTGCTTGTTCCTTATGTTGTTCTATATTACGTCGTTCGTCCTCTAATTGCAGACTGGCATCGGCAAGTCTTTTCTCTAATCGGCGACACTGCAAAAAACAAACTATATAAAAACCTACCATCTTTTCCACTGAAAGCAGAATGCAGATGTCTTATTGAAGCATAATAAGATCATTCAAATGATGGCAATATTCACATAATCAGTTTTAAGCCAATTGGAAATTCTAAAGTACACATAAAAGTTTAAAAATACTTGGCGAGCAGCATTACTGCGTTCTTGTGATTCACTGTTGCACTGTTCTTCAAGATATTGTATTTTAGCTTCAAGTGCCGCAATTTGCGCTCTAGATCGTGACTGGGCAGATGTTTCTAATTCAGATATCTTGCTTTTCAACTCTCTATTTAATCGTTCAAGCGACTGCTTTTCCGCATCTAACTTCTGATATGAAGAACGTTCCATTGACAGTTCTGTAGTGAGTTGTTCTACCTAAAATGATTAAAATGGAATCAAAATAAGCGAAAGATACTTTTGTTTGAAAAATATGAAGTGCGAAAAAAATTAAATGCCTTCATTTCAATGAAATCTTCAATTTCCCTTGTTTTCCAGTGAATAAAATTTACCTGTGACTGTGCTTTACGCTGTTTGTCTACAGCAAGTTCGACATTGCTCTGTTCTTCTTCGAGTTCTTCCTCAAGAGCAGCAATTTTATCTTCCAGCCTACGTTTTTCATCGATGTTGAGGCCTCCAGATCGCCCTCTTGTTTCTTCGAGTTCGTCTCGCTCAGATTCCACTTGCCTCTTCTGGGCTGACAAGGTATCGACCATCTCAGCCAATCGAGAATTTTCAGTTTCTATTGCACGTAACCTTAAATTTTAATGACAGATAGCAAATATGTTCCAGCATTAAATTTTTTATTTGCGTAATGACCAATTTGAATGGTCTTCGGCAATAACTTGATCTTCAACGCAAAAAAATGTTAACAATTTTTAACATTTTTTTTTCACGAACAATATCAATATAAATTAATCTGCCAACTTTCGCTCCATTTCTCTGAAGGATACTGCAAAATCTTCCTTTGCTTGACGAGCATCTTCAGCTTCATGTTGCAATTCCTTGATCATTTGCTGGTATTTTTTAAATTGCCTCGAATAATCATCTTTCAAACGATTTGCTACTTCAAGTTGTTTCTCTGATTCAGATAGCTGTGACTCCATTTTTTTTCTTTGAGAAACGGCGGCTGTCTAAAATAAAATGGACATGAACCATGTGAACCATAAAAGGATTCCATTAAAAATGATTATAATATATAAAAAATCATACAAAACAAAAGTGCAAAGGCTTAAAAATTTAATTTTCTAACACGGAAATTAAACTAAACTGAGAAAACAGACCAATAATGAACGAATGAAAAAATTTATTAACCTTTCCTCTACGTTCAGTTTCGAGCTCATTTTCAAGATCGCGAATTTGTTTGAGTAATGAACGTCGCTTCTCTTCATTTTCTTGTTCCTTTGCCATTAAGGTACGTTCATGTTCTGTCTTAAATGCCTAAAAATTCTGCCGCATGATGTAATAGCTAAACGATTTATTTATTTCATGAAAAAATTTATTTTGAAAGATGTTTTAACCTGAAGATTAACATCAAGTCGTAGGCGAGCATCTTCTGCAATTTGCAAGGCATCTTCCAGTTCTTCGACCTGTGCTTTTTGTTGTCCTAAAGCATCCTCAAGCTGACGCTTTGTTCTTTCTAATTCATGCACATTTTTACCAACATCGTCTTTTTTTGAACACTAGAAATAGTATCGAAAATTGAAAATGACGTTAAATATAAAAAGAACAATCCATTTAGTATTTAATACAATCCATTTAGAAAAGAACTCTAACAAATAATTCAGTTGAAATTTGGAGTGAATAAATATACAATGGAAATCAACTAGAATCGATAACAAATACTCTATTAATTAATAAAACAAAGATTTACTGATTCATCTAACTCTTGTTGAAGAATTCGCTTTACACGCTCTGATTCTTCGAGTTGTATTCGAATGCTTTCCAAGTCATTGTTTAACGATAAAATGCGAGTCTCTAAGTCACGTACTTCTTGCGCTAAGCAGTCTCTTTCATTAGATACCTATAATTCTAATAATTAAAAAACAAAATAAGAATGAATGAACTTTCTAAAAAAACTCGAATAGAAAACCACCTTCTGCACGTTTGTTTTTTCTTCAGCAAGTTGTTGATCGAATTTTCTTTGCTTCTTTTCTAATTCCCGAGCATTTGATCTAACATTATTCAACTCAATATTGGCATCTTCAACCTGAAAATTTCGAAAATTATTTAATACTATCAAATAGTAAATGGAAAACTAATAAATAAATGGAAAATAAAAAAATTAATTTATTCCTACTAATTTTTTAATCTACTAAAAGGGTAAATGCTTAAATGAGATAAAAGTATGATTTTTCAAAATTTGATTTTTTTGATTTTGATTGATTTTCAAATTAATTTTGATAATAAATTGATTTTCAAAATTTTAAATAAATGGACTTCTTGTTGCAATTTCTTCTTAGATCGTTCAGCACGGTCACGAGCAGCTTCTGCTTCGGAAACAGATTTTAGGGCAGATTCTAGATCACGTTGGGCTTTTTTTCGCATTTCTTCAATCTGTTGCATTGCTCCTTCATCTGCTTTTTTACGAACTTCATTAAGTGAATTACGGATGGTTTCAAGCTGCTATAAAAATAAAATATAAATTTGAACAATATAACAAAGAAAATGGAAAGGTAACAGAAAATAGAACTCACTGCTTCAAGCTCCTTTTGTTTCAATTCAGTTTCATGTTTAACATCAAGGGATTCCGACAAATCAGCTTCTAACTGACGTACACGTGATTGCATCGCAAGTTTCAACCGAGTTTCATCTTGTAACTGATCTTGTGCCTCAGCAAATTGTTGTTCCAAAAGCGATATTTTTCGCTGTAGAGCAGTAACGTTTTGTTCTTCATCCTCTTTTTGCTTAACGATAGATTCTAGTTCACTGAGTACCTTAAAAGATCAATAAATAGAATATCACTGAAATCGATATTTTAAAATGCAGTGAGATCATCTTTTGTACCAAAAAAACTTTTTCAAAATTAATATTGAGATTACCTTGATCAAAAAAATTATAATATTCTGAATTTCTAAAGTCTAATAAACAAATTTTGACTATGGTACACTTTAATTTTTGATTGTACGCTTGAATAGCTATAAAAGTTTAATATAATATAAAATAATATATTATAAAGCTTATAAAAATTTTTGAACCAAATAAAAATGTAAGCCGTTAAATAACCTGGAAAATTTCTGCGAAATTTTGAGATATTTCAGAAATTTTCCTTAATATTCCCACATACAGAATTTAAAAATTCTATAAGAATATAAATAATCTATAAGAATTTAAAAATTTTACTTTAGAAAGATCTTGAGATATAGTTGATTTAGCCGCTTCTAGTTCAGCAAAGCGTGCCGTTAACTCAATGGAGTTCGTTTCGATTTGTTTTCTTTTCTTATCCGCTTCCGCTTTCGCATTTATCATAGCTGTTAATTCAGCCGCAATTTCGTTTTTTTCTGCTTCAATTGCGGCCTTCGACTTATCCGCTTGCGCTCGCAAACGTCTTTGCAACTCTACCTTAACAGCAAATTAATTCCTTACCAATCACCAAAAGAAAAGTTGCCAATTTTATAATGTAAAAGAATTAACAATAGTGGGATTAAAAAAAGGACCTGCTCATCGAGTTCATCCACTTGTTTTTGGTACTTCTGCTTGAGTTCCTCAATCCTTGATTCACTGGAAGCATATGCAGCATCCAGTGCTCGCTGTATAAAAAATAGACAAATGGATATTAACAAAAAGAAAAAAATGCTATTCAACTTGTGTCGAACTAGAAATTAGTTCAAAAAATAAATATCAATATTGCTAATGGCACCACTTTATATTACAGAACTAACTTTCAATTCTTTTAATTCATCATCTTTTTTCTTTTGTATTTCGAGAGAAACTGCGGTTTTATCAGTTGCTTCCAGATATTCTGTCCTCAGTGTTTCAAGATCGTCATTTAACTCCCGCCGACTTTTTTCTGCTTTGATCCGAAGATTTTTTTCAGTTTCTAAATCTTCTTTTAATTCTTCCAAATTTGATTCTAATTCTCGAATACGTTTGTGCAATGCGGCTGTATTTGCGCTATCTTCATCCGATCTAAAAAAAGCCATTGACGTTATTAGAAAAACGAAATGAGTTTTTAAAAATATAGTGTAAAAATAAAAAATCTATAAAAAATACCTAAATTTATCTTGCAAATATATTTTTTCACTAGGTAATTTTTCGAATATTTTTTTTTCATTATGTACATATTTTACTTGATTGTTTTTCATGTGTTTTTATTTTTACGTGTACCAGAAATTTTTTAGTTTTATATTTCTTTCCCTTAAAAGCCATTTCTTTCTTCTGAAAAACATCGATTGACTATGAGCATTTGCACTATCTATCTATCATTACTCTGCACTATCGATCATTATTATTTGAATCGATTATTACTGATTATTAATCATTATAAATTATCTTCAAACTATTTTTCTTCTAAAGTTTTCGACTCAGCTCTCCAGCAAGATTTTTTTCTTTTAATTGGAGCTATATGGCCTTCAAAATGGACATGACGGCTCCATTAGATGAGGAAACCATTCTGTCTTCTTTATAGCTCGGAGAACAATTAGTGAATTGATACGGAATAGAAATGGTGTGCCTGTTAAGGCTATTAAAGATCGCTTCATAAGATGAAAGAAATTATTTGGGACCAAACTTAACCAAGATTCATCTGTTATTCCGGACATAGCTGAATCGCTTGTTGAGCCATATATTCACAACTGCGAACCGCCAGCATAGCAAGAAATAATTTCTGTCATACAAAAGCTTAAGACCAATAAAATCCTCAGAGATGCTCTCCGGATTGAACTCTTCAAACGTTGTCCTTCATAATAAACCTTCGACAAATATGGAAGAATATTGTCTGATATGGAAAAAAGAAATAATACCAGATGAAGGGGAAAAATAATTCTATTCCCAATTCCCAAGAAAGGTATTTTGTGACAAATATCGAGGAATCAAGCTACTAAGCATCTCCGGGGAAATTTTCGCTTCTCTTCTAATAATGTTTTATGGCAATGTGATGCTTCCTAGCTAAACTGGATTCAGATCGAGACGCGGTTGTGGTGATATTCACGTTAAGAAGGGTGTTGGAATTAAATATCTACCCGTATTTCATCGACCTTGCAACTCTCTTCAACTGATAAAACGGCGCTTTGGAGGATGAGGAAGCTGAGGAAACTTGAAGGAATTCCAAAGAGGATCATTCGATCATGAAGGCTTTTTGTTAGGGTAAGTCTGTGTATATGGAAAAATTATCTCCTTCGAAATAAGAACTGATTTCCATCAGGGCTGCGCTCATTTCTCAACAATATTCATGCAGTAGACTGGATTATGGACATCAATTATCGATACACAAGAGTTGTACAAATCAATCCCGAGCATCACAGATACCACAGATCTTGAATACGCAGAGGATGTAATTCTTTTTGCTAATAGTTATGACGAAATGCAATTCGTGTAAATCAATATGACGATAATTTCAACGAGAATGACTTAGGATCAATATAAATATAAGACTTTTCGTCTTATATACCAGAAGCTAAATACCTATTTTCGTCTTTGGGTGAGGGAATGCCAGATTTTAAATATCTTGGATCCACTCTAATCCCAAACGGCCAGGCGAAAGACTGAAATTACAACCAGGATAACGGTAGCGACCGTCGAAACTTTCATGGGGTCGTCGCGAAATCACCATAAAAATGAAAGATTGCATCTATATGCTGCAATTAACTCGATCATGATAAATGGCTATGAGACACGGCCAATGAGTGTGGAAGATATTAAGAAGTTATCCTTTGACTGACCATGTTTAACTGGTTCACCGGGCGAATAAGATCTCAACCAAAAACAATCAGTAAAAATTGTTTGAATGTATAAATATACCAGCAATATATGAACTTAGACGATGGAAAAAGGAATGGCTACTGTTAACAATAGCATCAGATCGAACAGATTGGAAACGCCTTACTTTTAGGCTTGTGGAGCCAACCTAATCAGTAATGATGTTAGAAGAATTAAACATTTCCCTTTGCTTCATTCCTTCAATCTAAATCATAGACAGGATTTATTATTATTTCCAATTAGAAAGGAAAGAAACATACTTTGTAAGCAGCATTGTAAGTTCTTCTTCTCTTTTACTTAATAAAGAATTTAGTTCCTCCAACTTTCTTCGTTTTTCCTCCAACAGTTCCTTTTGCTCATCTATCTCAGTATCCTGTTTTCGTTTGATACGTTCCAGATCGATTTTAGCCTCCAAATAGTAAATAAATGAAATATTGCAAATGAAATGAAGCAAAAATTTGGGTGGTTGCTATAGATCCAGTATCTTTATCCCCATGTGAAAGAGACAGGTCTCTCTTTGACGCGGTGTCTGCGTATGATACTTCTTCTCAACTGATAGTATATTATAAATATACGAACCGGGTGTAATAATTGTGGTATTGATAATAATAATGACAATGATAATAATGATAATAACAATAATAATAATAATAATAAAGTAATTCCAAGGCTTAAGAACAGGATATGCTCACAATCCTAGACAATTACTTAGAATTCAAGGAAGACGAGAATCTATCTGGAAATATCTTGTAAAGCGCGGCGAGGTGTTGGCTATAGCTGCTTGGAACGTCAGAACGCTTACAGACGTTGCAAGCCAAACGATCACTGGCCATACCTTTTCTAAATAGAGCGTGAATATGATGGCCTATTGTCGAAAATCCGTCTTTCTCATGTGCCCTTGGCCCTCGGCCCTTGAGTAATTATTGAATCTGGTTCCGAGCAAAGATATTGGTTAAATCGCTGTAATGTCTCGGATAACTCTGGGCGAAATGCCATAGCGATGACCGAAAAGGCTCGACTCGCTCTGATTGAATGGAAGTCAGTAACTGACCATATGGCCTACGCGCCTTTCAGAGGGAAGTTCTGCAATATTTCAGTCACCAGTGTATGTACTCCAATTTCGCGCGGAGATGACCATGATAAGGATAAAAATTTTATACGGAGCTTCAACTGTTAACAACACCTCTACCGAGGGATGAGATGGTTATGGTCGGAGGAAGCTGGAATGCATGCATAGGTTATGATGCCATCGCGATAAACTCGGTAATTGGCATTGGGGTCCAGTGCACCAATGGAGAACGCCTTCTTTATTTTACTGAAGAGCATGAATTCTTTGTTATTAATATATGTTTTCGGCATCGGAGGAAACATCTATTCACGTGGAACTCTTCGGACAACCAATATTCCAATCAGATTGACTATATATTGCTGGAAGATTTCTGTACTTGATAGTCGTTATCGGAGCGCTGAAACTGGTAATCGCCATGGATCAGATCATGTTATGGTTCAAGCCAAGATTCGTATAAAATTAACAAGTCGTAAGAAACAACCTGAGATCTTTCAATTATCTCAAATTAAAAAATCCAGGAGCAATAAATGCATTTCAAACCGTATTATTGAAACACCTTAGTGAAATAAACATCAATGATATTTCAGGAACGGTGGAAAAATACTGGTCCCAATTAAAAACATGCTTATCAGCCACTTCCATACTAGAATGGTACTAGTAAGAAATGTTAATTGGGTGTCGGAAATAACTGTCCAGTTGTCTGCCAAAATCCGAATGTTATCCTGACTATCGGGTGCTGCAAAAAATTACAACGATAGCAGCACGGGGGACAAAAATCGCAATTGGAGCGATATGGTCTTGAGAATGGAGACGGATAGGTGATAATAGGAAACTGTTTCGCATTCTTCACAAAGCAACTACAAGGATTATTGAAATGATACGGAATATTAATGGCGTGCCTATCAAAATTGTTAAGGATAGCCTCAGAAGATGGAAAGCGTTTCTTGAAGCCAAACTTAACCACGATGCACCATCTATTATCACGTATATACTGATTTACCTGTCGAGCTTTAAGTTTGCAAGCCGGCGAGCCGGCAACAGAAGAGGAAATAATCTCTGTAATCCATAAGCTTAAGGCCAACAAAACTCCGGAAGAAGATAGTCTTTGAGCTGAACTCTTCAAATATTGTCCATCGTCCTTCACAACGCATCTTTAATACCTTCAACAAATATGCTTTCTGGTATCGAAGAAAAAAATATTACCAAATGACTGGAGCAAAGCAATTTGCACCCAGTTCTCATTTCCTCTTCCTTTCTGCTTAATAGAGATAGTATGTCCTAACCAAGCTGGACCAAAACCGGGACATTGTTTGTGCTGACCAGATATTTATATTAATAAAGGTGTTGGAATATCGCTTTCAGCAACTCACCATCACTTGCTTTATCGAATTGATTTATGGAGCATCTTGAAAGTGATGGTGTCCCAGAGAAAATCACTCAGCTCATAAAGACATTTTATCATCATACCTCGGCACAGGTATGTGCATATGGAGAATAACTGACCCTTTCGAAATAAAAATTGGTGTCCATCAAGAATGAGTCTTTTCCTTACAATATTGGATTATATAAAATATACGCGATGGACTGGACAATAGGAATCGTTTGTCGGCACACTCAAGAGGTATGCAAATCAATCCAGAGCATAGCATCACAGACCTTGAATACGTTGATGATGTAGTACTTTTTGCTATGATGAAATGCAAATAATGCTAAACAATGTGCCAACAACCGCAGCAAGAATTGGACTTATTATTCGTCATATATACAATGATAAAATACCTATTTTAATCAATTCAATGCCGATTGTGGAAGTACCACTTTAAATATCTTGGATCCACTCCATTCTTAAATGGCTAAGAATGAAATTGTAATCCATCGTAGCCCAGATAGCTAGAAATTCCGATTAACGAAATTTTTATGGAACCATCGCGAAATCATCATAAAGAGGAAAATCCTCGTCCATGTAGTTGCAATTCGCTCGATCTTGTTATATGGCTGCGAAACATGATAAAGGAGATTGGAAGATATTAAGCTATCATCCTTTAACCACTCATGTAGATATATTTTACGGGTCCGTCGAGCGAATAAAATCGCACTAATTGTACCCATCTTGGCTCAAATACCACCTATAATAATAATATTGCACAGAACATCGCCTTCGTTGGTTAGGATACGTTCTCCGTCCTCCACCACAGGAGTTGACGCATATTTCATTACTTGCTAAACCCTAAATCCTGTGATGGATGGCGTCAAAGCGAGGAGGGCCAATCAAGACCTGGACTAATACGGTTAGGAAGATTTTGAACGTATAGGGGAACCAGCGGCATGTGGACACAGACGATGGAAAAAGGAGTAGTTTCTATTACTACTAGCGATGGCAACGGATCGAGTAGCTTGGAGATATCTTACCCTAGTAGCCAGCGCAGCCAGCCTAATCAATAATGGTGAGAGCAAGAGATAGAAGAAAAGCAGAAATATAAATAAAATAATAATGAAAAAAATGAAAAAAACTGTATGAACTATTGAGTTTATGATGGACTTTTATAATTGAATTTTGACATAAAGCACTGAATGAAAATGGGAAATTTTAATTGTTACTTTATACCTGTTTTTCTTTCTGCAGTTCTTGCTCCAAAGCATGTAGCTGACCTTCTGCTCTTGAACGCTGTTTTCCAACTTGTTTGGCCTTTTCTTCTTCCTCTACCAGCTGATTTGAAAGTTCCACAGCGCGTTCTTCTATACTTTTTTTTTCTTTGTGAAGCTTAAAATTTCTCATAAAATTTGATATCTTCATATTTTACCAAAATGTCAAGGAAAAATTTTTTAGAAATTATATATTGCTGGATAAAAAAAATGTAAAAAAATTGAGCAAGATCAATAATTTATATCAATAAAATGAAGTTTGCCATATTCACTTTAGAGAAAGAATCAACAAGTTCGGCGTGTTTTTCTTCAAGCTTTTTCCATCGTTGATCAACACTGACTTTATCAAGCATTAATTTCTGTCTTGCTTGTTCTTCTTCTTCCAGTTGTTCCTCCAAATCTCGAACCGTCTCCTAAATCAATCTTAAATCAGATTGAATAAGCTAAGTGTTATGGAAAACTTTCTTACCCAATTTTTAAAATAAAGGAAAACAGAAAAAAAAATAGATGCAAACACCAATAATAAAACCAATTTTGAATATAATGAAATATCAAAGCTGCATAACATAAATGAAAGGAATTTTCAGTAAGCCTCAAAAAATAAGGAAAACCTGAAGTTTTTTCTTCTCCTCAGACATTTTCTCCATTTGCTCTTCACTTTCATCCAATTTTGCATTCATTTCAGTCAGCATTTCTTCAAGTTCTACTTTACGTGATGATAATCGCTCCTTTATTTCATCTGCCTCTGCACGTTCTTCACTTTCCTATATAATAATTTTTTTGAAAAAAGATCTCATCTATAGTTTTCAAAAAATGACGAAAAGCATCAGACGACTAATAATAAAATTTTATTCTCTATAAAGAAATAACAACCTGTTGCAATTGTTCCACTAAAAGCGATCTCTCTTCATTTAATTGATTCATTCGCTTAACGACTTCTGTGTATTCAACTTCACGTTTTGACAGTTTATCCTTGATGACTTTCAATTCTTCTTCTTTCAGTGCGATTGCTGCTTCTTGATTTGTTACTTGTAGTAATGGTTTAACCTAAATAAACATTTTTGAACTTACTGCTCGACTTATATGAAACAAAAATCAAAAGTAAAGCAACAAAATGGATTAGAACATTTTAGAGATCAAGATAAAACCTTTGTAAATAGTCGCCACCATTGCCAGTTTCGAAGTTTAAGCCACGCTAGCCCATTTCGCTGAAGCACTCGAATGGCATTGGACTGTTGAACACGTTTTTGATAAAGCCGTCTAGCGAGGAAAGCACGACACTGTGATTGAAAAGATACAATTAAATCCGTTAATTTATAATCTCTTTCTTCTTCAAGATGAGCCAGCACTCCCGCACGGAAAAAAATTTTTGACTGCCCAATACGATATAAATTCGATTCCAATTCCAGTGTTTCAATCATTTTTCTGCAAAAATAAAAAAAAATTATGACCTCCTGATTAAGACCAAATAACTAAAATTATTTGCTAAGACTGAAATAATAAAAAATAGAAATAGTAAAATAAGGGATCAGCCTCTTCAGTTTGCTGGTTAACAACAAAAATAAGCAAAATGACCGATAAACAAAGCTATATGCTAAATCCAATAAGTTAAAATTCTCCATTCGCGAAAGTCCGATCCAAAAATAATATTACTTCACAGCTTCTTTGCCATCCATGAATCCTTTTGGAATCGCACCAGGAGTTAAAATCTCATAACGATGACGAAATTCTTGGAAAGGTATCCTATTTGGAAAGCCTTGTCGGCAAATACGAATACCTTCGAGAACTCCATTGCAACGAAGTTGCTCCAAAACCAATAACGATGATATCTTTCCTGCCTAAAAACTTTTTTTAACCAATTTCAATTTCATAAATAACTTTATAGTTAGACAGTTTATAGTTATAACTTAATTTAAATATATAAATGTACTAATTTTTTAAAATTAAATCTATTGCAATCGATTGCAATATTAGCAGAAAATTTTTTTCTGACCTTTTTTTCGTGGTTTGGAATAATGCATCGAACAAAGTGAGGATTTGTATTGCGCAAAGTTGTCATGAGCCTAGTTAGTTGCTCCTTATGTAGCTGGCTGACTGTTCGAAACATACCTTTCTTTGTTCTCGTGCCAAATGCAGTCTCATTGTATTCAGACGTACAGATTGCCGCGAATTCAGCTAAAAGTCTTCATATATTGCATACTACTGCATACTTTAAAATCTATCTAAATCTTTAAATCTTAAGAACCAAAAGAACATCTGTCAAACATCTTGTACAAATACATTTTTTATGAACAATTTTTATGCGATGAATGAAAAATTTTTCTTTCAACATCATAAAATATGGTAAACAGTTAGCCAGTCTATGACAATGAACGAGAATGTAAAAAATACCATCTTTCCATATGCTAACAACGAATGGATCCGATGAATTCTGGAAGACTGCAACAACATTTTCATTTAGTGGGTCCATATTTTTCATGAGCCATTGGTCGGCCGAATAATCCACTCGGCCAGCATAATGAATTACAGCAAAATCAGATTTAGCGCGCATTTCAGGAATAACAAATTTCGGATGCTTTGCATGATTGACAAAAAGTTTCTCGACAAGAGATTTATCAGTAGCTTTCGGAAATAAGCACTGTTCATCTAGGAGTGCAAGAATACCCATGGGCTAAAATTAATATATCAAGTGAATATTTAATGAAAAGTCTGCGAAATCGATTCTCAAAAATTTCCTATTTATGCATCAACCACTATGAAGTAAAAAATATCATCATGAGGATATCAAATATCTCAACTTTTCGAATTAACCACATGTTTCTACTAAGATTTATCCAGTATTTTGTAATTACGTTTTGGCTTACAACATATCCTGCCGAAAATCAACAAAATTAAAGTGCACTTACTTTTTCAATGAGATCGATGGTCGGTTGCAAATCAAGACCAAAATCGATGAACTTCCAGTCAATACCTTCACGTTGATATTCTTCTTGTTCAAGCACGAACATCGTATTATTGAATAATTGTTGCAATTTCTCATTCGTATAATTAATGCACAATTGTTCAAAAGAATTCAACTCAAAGATTTCAAACCTATAAGAATTGAAATAAATCAATCTAAAAGAAGTGAGAAAAAAAATTTGAAATACTCGTAGAACTCACTATCTCAGTTCATATTTTGTGAAAAAATAGAAAACAGATTTACAGGAAAGAGGAAAAAGAAGAGTGAGAAAAAAAGAAAAATTAACCCAGCGATGTCGAGAATACCGATAAAAGATGCGCCTTGCCTACGTGTACGATCTAATGACTTATTTAAACGAGCAACAAGCCATCTGAACATTTTTTCATAGCATGCCTGCAAAATTTTTGTGTCCCAACAAAAATAATTATTTACTAATTGTTCATAAAATAAAAAATAAAGCAATGAAAAAAAGCGACCTTGCTTATTGCTTCGACAGCAAATTCTGCTTGTTCTTTGTTTTGTGCTTTATGAACATATTCCCGTCCAACTTTAATTCTCGGTTTCAAAAAGGCTCTTGTAAAGTCCACAAGTGGAAGACCCAATAAATGGCATAATTTTTGCGCAACTGCAGTTGAATTAAAATACATACATTTATGCTTCATAAACTATATTTTTCGCGCCCCGTAAGGACTGTAAGAAAAACTTAGCAATTCTTAGCAATTTTTAATTTTTAAATGTAAAAAATTTCCTCGGACAAACCTCGGTCGTCATTGAGAATTGCCTGATCTGACTTTTTCTCCTGAAAGAATTCCATGTTGCCGAAAAGGAGGACCGCAGATACCAAGCGGAGTACAGCTGAAGAATCGAATGGAAATAAAAAATATTAATATAAAACTCAGATTTATGTAAAATTCCTTTAAAAATATTGAACATCTACTAAGAATAGTTTAAAAATAATATAAAAATGGAAAATGATATAATTCCAATTGCACTTCATTACAAGATGCAATAGTGGCTTACAAGTTATTTCTTCATCTTGAAAGCCCATAATTTTCATAGATCGAACCGTATTGTGAAATTCAGCAGCATCATCCACATTAGGTAAACAAATATAGCCATTATTTAAATAACGATATTTATCGACATCTTCAAGCAAGAAATTTGCTAAAAATAAAGAACAAGTTAAATAAAAAAAATTTCGAAAATTCTATAAAAACTTAAAAAATATTAAATTTTACAAAAAAATAAAAGAAAAAATAGGTAAAATAGTATATTCTCTTTTTTCATTTGTTAATATTTCTGTTCCTAAAACGAAGCATATAAATAAAAGAAAATAATTCACTGCAGCATTTAAAATAATGCCAAGAATTTGACGATTTCTGTGATGAAATTTCATGATATGAATCTAAATCAGTCATCAAACATTTCTAAACCAGATAACAATCAATCTTACACTACTCATCAAATGGCATCTAACATATCCAAGAAGTTGTATATTTTTTTAATAATAATTTTTTATAAGTATATTTTGAAATTATATAACAAGTTTAAAACTTATCTCGACCGAAAAGAATTATTTAAAAAATCATATGGCTAACTTTAAATGGAGAAGGCGACCGAATTATTTAATACAATTTTATGGGTCGTAACTAAACTTATAGACCATTCATATGATTTTAAATAACGTAATATTTATGAAATATAACCGAAATTGAATTTTATTGTTACCGACCATTTAACTTTAATTCAATTCGCATGATTCACTTAGCTAAATAATATAAATTAAGCTATATTTTCAAAAAAAAGAAAAAAATGTCAAAACAAAAATAACATTTTTCTGCACCCGATGTACCTCGAAGAAACTGGTAAAAAATATGAAATGACCGTTCATCAGCAGCTTGTCTAAGAGTTCTTGACTTTTCCAGCAAATAGAATTCAATATTTGCACCCGAAATGTATCCCGACATATCGAAATTAATACGGATAAATTTTCCCTAATATCACATTGATTAATTGCTTGACAATTAATTAATTGCTTATTTATAAATTTTTAAATAAAGTTATTTTAAATAGCAAAAGAATAAAAATTTCCCACCATAAACTTTCTAACCTTTAATATATTCAAAAAAATAACATGTATCATAAATCTTTGACGTGTATCATAAATCTTTCCTGTACAATATTTACATCCTACACCTCAAACCTCCAAGTCAAAAACATTTTACTTTTCTAAATTAACCAAAAAGCTAACAAATCTCGACGAGTTATCATTTTTGACAGTTTTACTATTGCCAAATGCTTCAAGAATCGGATTTGCTTGAAGTAACTGATGCTCAAGTTCACCCTGAAATTAGACATCAATTTCAATGATAAATAATTACTAATGACCAGAGGCCAAGCATAACGAAAGACAGCAATAAATTATGAATAAGTTCTTTAATCGACAAATGATCTATAGAAAATTATATTTAATGACTTCTCACTCTGCTATCAAAATGATAAATATTGTGATAATAAATTATTGCAATTATGATAAATTAATAAATTATTGCAATTATGATAAAAGGATAAATCCAAAATATTTTAAAAACTTTAAAAAATGGATATATTCCCCACTATCTTTTTGCCATTAGATGCTTGAACAAATTGTTTATTAAAAATTATTCATATATAAGATGGATAAATATTTGTATATTATTTCTTTCCAGCAAAAAAATTATGCTGGCTGATGCACAAAAATTTTAAAAAAATATGCGAAAGAATAATTTTAAAAAAAGACATGCAAAAAACTTACAATTATATTCTGCAGTTCCTGTCTTGACTGCAAAACATGCAAAATATAGGTGAAAATAAATCTTTTAAATTAAGTTAAAAAAAAATTTGCGACATTCAATATTGTGTGAAATATTGTAAGTTAAAAAGCTACTAAGGAAAAAATATTTATCCTATCATTAAATAATAATGTTGAAACATTTAATAATTAAAAAAAGCAAACATGCGAGAAAAATCTAACTCCTCAACCACTCAAATATAAAACCTATATCTTTTCAACGAAAGAAATAACGCGAATTTAATTCTAGGAAAGAAAGAAGATTTCAATTTTTTCTTTTTTTCCAAAATTTTATTCAATCACTATTAATTGTTAAAGCACGCTTCTGTTCATTCATTTAAAAAAATTTTAAGTATGTCTGCAAATTAAAGTGATATTACCTTGAGAGGGGAGGCTGGAGATTTATTCTGTTGCCTTGTGGCACCCGCAACATATGCAAGATATTGTATCACTTTCTTAGTGTTTTCTGTTTTACCTGCTCCTGATTCTCCCCTTAAAAAAGTATATACACATTAATAAAAAAAGGAAAAAATAACAAATAATATGAATAATACAAATAAATAATAAAATCAGTTTTACTAGAATAAATAAATTAAATCAGTCTAACTAGAATAATCAAAAATACAAAATATGTGAAGTTAGAAAGTATTTAAGCAAATAAAATACAAATACGAAAAATTTCCACTTACGTGCAAAGAATTGACTGGTCTTCACGTTCTAAAAACAAACTTTTTTATTAATAACTAATCGTTATATTAAAGATTTTTCAAAAGAATCACTAATTTTAGGTCCAAAATTTAATTTTTAAAGATTTTCAATTAAAGCTATAGTTAATCGAAGAAAATAGATAGTAAATTCGAAGAACTGAAAAAATACTGAATGATAAACAATGAATTTTAAGTATTATATTAAATATTAAGTATTATAGCTGTAAAGAAAATAAATTGCTAAAAAAAAATCAGGACGTAGAAGACTGCAAAATAAATTTTAAAATGCTCTATTCAATAGTAATAGAAGTAAAAATAGAAGTAAAAATAATAAATAAATAAAATTCGAACATTTTAATTAAATTTATAAATACAAAATTATGAATCATAGATTATTTATAACCTTGTAGCATTGATCGGTATGCTGTATCGGTAATTGCAAATATATGCGGTGGCATTTCATGACGTTTTTTTCCTTTAAAAGCCTCGATCAAACTTTCTGAATAAATTGGAAGTTTTTTGTATGGATTAACCACAACGCAGAAAAGACCAGAATATGTCTGCAAATATTTTTATACTCATTATAAAAATCATTATCATACAAGCTATAATGTTTTCTAAATTTGATGTTAAGCCATCTCTCATCCTAATAATTAATAATGTCATCACTTAAAAAATTTTAAAAAAATGATTAAAACCATTATTTTATAAAACTTACATAAATAAGTGATGAAAAATATCTTTCTCTAAGATTATGAAGTACTGATGCTTCATTAAGGCACGTCAATTCAGCCATATCTTCTACCTTGTCAAATTTAGGTGGATTCATTTTTTGAACATCATCTTTGCTTAATGTTAATCTCTGAAAAAAAAGAAATACTCGAAGCATTGCAGTGATAAGAGAAATAAACCCTTGAGAAGCATTACAGATAAGCATTACAGATGTTGAAGAAATAAAACATCAAATTAATTTTTGTAAATTTATCAAATTAATAAACACATAAGGAGTCACTTTTCCAGTTTCAACAATTTCGACGACAACATCATCACCACGATCTTCCTTTACTGAACCAGCAACAAAACCTTCTGTTTCATGTGGTACCCAAACCAATCTCTTCTTTGACCACTCAGCTTGAAGGGCTGGATCAGCAACAATACCTTTTTGCACCTGAACAAACGATATCTAGATTCTTATAAAAATGATCTTCACTTTGCCATTAAATAATCAACTATTAAAAATCTTTGAAATAATCGGAAATTTTCCGCGCATCAAAATTTCAAACGTGGAATTAGTGATATGAAAAAAAAATTTATTTTCTCATATAACCTGACAATTTTATAGGGAATCCATTTTCCAAAATCTATTTACGTTCATAATTACTTTTCAGCCACTTTATAAACAATTTTAACAAAAAAAAACGATTCAACTAAACCTTCTTTTTGCTGAAAAGTAATTAAAAGTGGCAGTTAAAAGATAGATAACTCAATTGTATATTAAATAAATATTAAATATTAAAAGTATTAAGTAAAAAACTTACCTGCAAATAAGAAATTTCAGGTGTGGCACTATCCGCCATAACGTTGAATGATCTTTTCCTTCACAATAGTAAAATCCTCTTAAATAAACTTTTATTCTGCAAAATAATAAATAAATAACAAAACTCATAAAGAAATTTGCGAAATTTGCGAAAAATAGACGTTTGTAAAACGCAAGAACCACCTAATAAATATATTTAATACCAAAAGTAGAATCCATAAAAAAAAGAAAAAGAATGGATCACTCACTCCGTCGTAAATGTTCTTATAGCGCAAAAAAAGCTTCTAATCCTAAAAAAATCACCGCAAAAATAATTTTCTGAATAAAATTAAAAAATAATTTTAAAAATTTCTATGAAATTTCTAAGTCTGCCACAAAACTTCAATAAGTAAAAATCACAATTTTCATTTGTTGAATGCATAAATTTGTTATAATGTAAAAGAATAAAAAGAATAGGAATAATAAAAAAAATCTATTAAGAAAAGGTTAGGTTGAATTATTCTGGAAAAAAATAATAAAAAAATCCAATTCATAAATGATTTAATTCAATTAAAATTTTTTCTTTCGATTTTTCATTTAACAGCTTTATCTAAACAATTTATTTAAAATATAAGGGAAGAAACGATGTTTCCTCTCATCAAATGAAAGTGTAAATCATGTTTAAAAAATCCCCATGAACTGATAAATAAATATAAATCACTGATAATGTTAGCAATTCTTATCATTCTACCGATAAAGTCATAAATATTAAGAAATAATAATAAAAAACAATAAATGAACATGTAGAATAACTTTACAAGACACAAAATTTTTTTCGTAATATTTTCATGGATTAACACCGAAATGTAAAAATAGCAATCACACAACCAAGTAGAAATTAAAACTGTTGAAACCAAAGTACTATTTAGGAAAAAGAATTTTTAAAAAACTAAAATTAAAAATTAAAAAACTTTTTAATTGCATAAAAAAGTAAAAAAACTTTTTTCAAATTTCTTAATTTAAATTAATCTTTCAACGAAAAAATCTATCTCTTTTTGAAACGTTTTTTATTTAATATTTATTTATTTATTTAATAACTTAGCTCTCTTTTTTAACAAAAAATTCAAAAAAATTTAAAAGCTTAAGGTTTAAATTTTTTAAAATATAAATGTACTATAAAAATGCAAATTGAAGAGAAATCAACAAATCAATAGAAGTAAATTAGTGAAACTACTTGAAAAAAGTGATGAGAAATGTGCATCGTATCACAGCATTTCATCAGTTAAAAGCAGAATGTCTAGGATAAATTTTTATGGAGCGAAAATATTTGTCAATAGAATGCAGCCATTAAAACGAATTATTCCTTGCTTCATTGCCATAGATCAGCCTAAAAGTAATCGAGCGAATATCGATTTGCAATTTTAAAAACCACTCAAATTCGTTACAAATTTTTCTCCAAATATTTTTTTATCATTTTATTATCATTTTTGTCAGAATTTTTTTTAGGTAACATCTAAAAGAATTTATTTTGCTCGAATTCATATAAATTTTTCTTTTAAATTAGTAAGCAAATTAAATATATTAAATAAGTAAATTAGTAATGGAGACCGCAAACAGGTGAAACGGATAAATTTCACTGTAAACATATTCCGGCATAAATTTTATGGGCTATAAATTATTTGAAGCCGATACTCAGCAACAGGCAACAGCTAATTATATCACAAAAATAAATCGTGCACACATAACATTCAATAAATGTTAATCCATTTATGCAGAAAACTTAAATTAGTCGACAAGAAATCAACATTTTCAAGGATTTCATTAGTTGAAGTTAAAATATACTCATCTACAAATTGTCTGCAAATTTTAAAAAAGTTCGCCGAATTCAAAAATTTAAATTTTTAGAAATATTAATATATAATAACAAATAACCAAGCAGCTAATCGTAACCAAATAAAAGCTTATAATTTTTTGAATATTTAAAGAATAATCAATAAAGGAACAGCTGGTTAAGGTCTTTTAAAAAAAAATGACAAAAATCAATGAAAAATCTAACAATAGAAAATTGGTTTGAAACATGGCCAGTAGATTCTTTCCTTCCACACTGTAAAACGATAATAGATAAAATTAACTGATCATTTATGATGAGTAAGCAATTCGAAAATGGGAGCGGATGAGTTGCAATAAAAATTTTCCTACATTGAAAAACTGGTTATTGATAGAAAAGCGATTTACCATATCATATTAAAGAACTGTTAAATTCAAAATAATTGAGTCAATAGCAAAGGATTTTTCAAAATTTCCAAAAAATCGTAATTTATTAGCGATAAGTGAAAATCTTCTCTTTTTTTTACAACCAGGTAACCGCCAATGTCATCATATTTGCCATATTCATATCTCGAAACTATAATTTAATATTATAAATGATAAATTAAAAAATATGAAATAACGTGAAATAACGTGAAATACATAATATCAAAAGCGTGATAAAATCCCTGCAAAAATCAAATTAACTCACCTAATTGTTTATTGTTTACATGAAAATCACGAAAATGAAACCTTCGAAAGTTCGAAGCACCTTTACAAATTTATCATAATTTCAATCGAACATAATGCAAAACAAATAAGAATATCGAAGAAAAAATACAAAATATGCATTCAGTATTCATTAGAACTCATCTCAAAAGATTATGCAGATAATCAGAGATATCTATTAAAGGTAAAGATTAAGAAAATCTCAGCTATGACAAAAAGTTCAAACCTAAGTATTACACAAAATAATAAAAATAATAATAAAAATGATAAGTTTTAAGTTTTAATTATAGTTTTTTTAAGCAAACGCAACAAACAACGCAACAAAAAAAAATGAATTAGCGATAGAAAATTCTTTCGAAATAATGAAACTTACTTTATACATCACATTACTCATACAGCCACCACGAATGCCTGAAAAGCGCTGATACAATTGCTGCTAATACATAATACAAACAGCATCCAAAAGCACAAAGCTGTATTATTCAAAAGTAAACCATTATGCATAATAAATAAAAAACTCATTGATAAAATTTGGATAGGAGTATGAGATAATAGATATGGTTTAATCTATTCTGAGCCAAGAAAAAAGAACTTTACAAGCCGCCGCTCAAGACAAATCTCCGTGGCACTCAATTTCGAGATCATGTATCACAGATTCGAACGAATCCTTGCTGAGAAAATAAATAATAACGCTGGGAACCCACTTATGCTTCCACTTCTAAGTACCTCTCTGACGTAATGGTCCAATTCTAGTAGCCACTGCAGCAATGTTGAGTCGCACAACTGCATTGTAAAACATTCATATCTGTGATATTACCCAACAATAATAATCATCACCGCTACGAATAATTCTCGCATCTGTTAGCTGACAGTCTCTAGCTTTTTGCTCCTTCATCTTTCCATACAGAAATTCCAGCTACACTCCGCAAACCAAAGTGAACAGCATTCATTTAAAAAAAATTACTTAATGTCGAATAAATCGAATACCATTAAATTCTTCCAAAAATTTACGAGTAAACATAATATAAACGCAATAAACATAAATAAAATTTATAAATATAAAATTTTTTTCCTTCGCTTATTCTAAAAATTTTTGCTTTCTTTACCAATTTTAGCTCAATACGTACCTCTCGTTTTAAATAAAATTTATCTTCTCCGAAAATATTCCTTATTTCGTTGCACTCAGTAAAACAAGAGGGACAGGCTAGTCTAGTGGATAGCAGTCCACAATATCGCGCTGAAAGGAAATCTTATTGAAAAGAACTAAGCAATGCTGGCGACACCAGCACTTGCATCGCAGACCGATTCCTTGGCAAAAAATTTCTAACCAACAACGAAGCAAGCCTATCTTAAAATGTTGAGGAAGAACCATGTACCTATCTTTTTTACTTCTTCAACAAAAACACTAGCTTTGCAAAAGATGTCTATTTAAGAAAAAAATAAAACCTTTTTCTTAAATTACTATTACATCAGCAGTCATAACTAAGTTATGAAATTTAATGCAAAATACCGCCGCAAAATTATCGTCGAACAGAATTTATACTTCCCAAAATGTTTCACAACCATCTGTTGCATTCTTGATAAATATCTCCATTTAACCAAAATTTAGCAGATTACAGTAATAACCAATAATCGATAGTAATTAATAATAATAATAAGACAGAAATCAAATAATAGTCACTAAAAAAAAACGATTCATCTTCACTGATAAACCACCATTCAAAATGGTTTCAAAAATTTATAAGTCGAAATTTTGTATTGAACGAAGGAGCTTTTCGGTTAAGCGGACAGCGATGATTTTAATTCAGCACAGCGATATAAAAAAGTAACAATAAAAAGAAGACGAAAAGAGACGACACGAAACCTATGACCACTCGTTATCATAATTTTAAATAAAAAATAACTGCGATTGCAACTGCGATTTGAATGCGATACAATTTAAAAACAAAATTAGAGAACCACGAAATTTTCTTTAATACAAATAAATCACTGTTATTGAGGGTTACAGTTTGCTGCAAAAACTCAACCACAAACTTTGTAATGCATCTGATGAGTTGAGAAATGCCGATGATAGTGACAACGACGAAGATGACAACGACGAGCCAACATCGACGATGACGACGATAATGTACAACGAACAACGATAAACGATGACGATCAATCTGAAAAGAAAAGAAAAGAAAAGATGAAAAAAATCGATACCTTCTATCATCAATGTGCTGGAATCCAACTGTTAGAAAAAGTCGAAAATTTTCACAAATTCAATTTCACAACTTTCCTTATTTTTGTAATTGAAGACATTATTTAAAGCGTGCGAAAATTAAATTAAGTAAATAAGAACGAAGTACCATCGAAAAAAGTGGCAAAGTTTCGAGTGGACCTTTAGATGAGCGAGAGCGAACAGCGCTCACTGTTTCTGGTTAGGCTGTTAGTATGGTTGAAGTTTTCGCGAAAGAGTCATTTGCAACGGGCGAGAGCGAGCAACTGGATTTTTTACCGACAGCTTCACCCTGAGTCGGAGGCACA